GCCCTTTGGCCTGGAACTCCTAAACGCTCTCCCAATGGTCAGTATTGACCTTCATCACCAGCTGCAGAAGCCAGGAGACCCCAGTGCTGTCTGGAATCTAGGATCTAGATCAGCACCTAGAAGGCCCCATAGACCCTCCACACTGTGTGTTTGTGCGACTCCAGAAAAAAGTAGTCGCGACTCGCATAATGAAGTCCACAGGCAAGTTAGAACACTTGAGATTTAGCTAGAAAAAGTAGCAGCAGACAAAATAAGCTAGAATTCATTAGAAAAGCAACAGGAAGGTTTAAAGAATGCTTCCACAGTTCAAGTCAGAATTCAGGCAGCCATTAGGTCCCACCACCTTTGCAGAGCTGTGGAGGTTTTGCCGTTGTTCTGTTTGAACAAAGAAGAATCTGTAATAAGCATATTCATTTGAGAAAAATACCATGTGTGTTAAGTTTTTGCAGCCATTCTCAAGTAACTTTAAATTTTGTGTGTTGTTCAAGGGCAGAAGATGTACTGGTTAGGACATGCTCATAGCTGATGCATCTCCAAAAACTTCTTCATGAAGGCAGCCAGCTTCTGAACATCTTCAATCGTGACGGCATTATACAGAGAGGCCCGGATGCCTCCCACAGACCTAGAATGACCAAAGATCCAACTGTCAAGAACAAAAGCACCTCTAATCTCGCATCAAAATGATGCCTTATGTAGTCACCAGCTCCCGAGAGTTGTAGCACCTGCAACCATCGAGTCCATCCTCTGACCTGAGAAGTCCCTGCTGGTGGCACAGAGCTCCACCCGTCCCAGTCATTAGAAAATTCTCCCTTAGGGCCATCCCGTGGCTCACTTGGGAGAGTGTGGTGCTGATAACATCAAGGCCACAGGTTCGGATCCCTATATAGGGATGGCCAGTTGCTCACTCGGGAGAGCGCGGTGCTAACAACACTAAGTCAAGGGTTAAGTTCCCCTTACAGGTCTTTAAAAAAAATTTAAAAAGAAAGAAAATTCTCCCTTCTGCAGTGAAGGCCCATCGTGCTCACATTTAACTTAGATTAATTCAAACTCTTCACTGTTGGCAAAGAAAAAAACAAGACGGGGGAGAAAGATAAGTCGGATCAAGATGGTGACTCGGCTCACCATGCCCTTCGTGACCCTGCCACAACAGTGCCTGTGAGGTGGAAGCTGGGCATCTAACATGCATGAGGACATTTATTTTTCACAAAGCATGCGAGATTAACTACTCCATCTAATGTTCAGCTGGAGTGACAGTGACGTTCTAACAGCAGAACGTAGTGGCACCAGCTTCGTCAGGGACGGAATGGCAACCTCTGCTCTAAGAGCAGTTGAAGAGAGTTTCAGAGTAATTTTGGCAAAACCCCCATGGAAGCCATGGCTCCCCCACACTCTCAGCCGAGGAATTGTGTGAAGGGTTCCATAAGCAACGGAGGAAGGTCCACCCCTGTGACGGCTGGTTTTCCCCAACAAGTTACACAACTGCTACCTCAAGCTGAGCAGGCTCCCGGATTAGTCTCCTTCTGCACTTGAAAACCTAAGCCAGTTCTCTGATGAGCTTCTGGTCTGGGCGTGTACTCACCTATGCCCTTTCAAGGAGATCATATTGAGTTCAAGAGCTTTATCGAGAAATCTTTTTTCTAATGCATCATCTCCTTTGGCATTGCCAATGCAGAATGGAATATTCATCTTGCTTCTATTTTGGGGTTCCACTGGACATCTGAAAAACACGTTTATTATTCTGGCTAGTTTTCTGAAGTGTATGGGCTGTCATTAACAAGTCAACAGATTTTTTAAAAAATATATTTTCTAGATGCAAGTAGATTTAAAAAAAAAAAATTCTGCCCCAACACATTTATAATTTACTTAAAGAACCCAGAAACAGTGCACAAGAAACAGAAAGTTACGTAAGAAACAGTGGGTTAGCATTCTCTTGTATGACTTGTACTTAATTTCCATAAGCCTCCGTTTCCTCAACTGAATGTTGGGAAGAAAAATACCTTCATTTCAGACTAGTTGTGACAGCTCAGTGGTTCGTCATATGCAGCTTCTGACTTGTACTTAATTTCCATAAGCCTCCGTTTCCTCAACTGAATGTTGGAAAGAAAAATACCTTCATTTCAGACTAGTTGTGACAGCTCAGTGGTTCGTCATATGCAGCTTCCAACTGAATGACCCTTTCTCTGCAAAGGTGCAGAGAAATAATCAGTTGATCCTAATAGTGTCTGTGAGACTTAAAAATAAGGAGCAGCTGCTTTCAAAAGACTTATCACCCTGTACTATCCCAAGTTGTGTGACCTTGAGCAAGTTATTTAACCTCTCTGCTGTGCCTCACCTTCCTCATCTGAATAGTGAAAATAATATGGAACCTACCTCAACCTACCTCAAGCTGTGTTGTGAGGACTAAATTAAGTCAGCATTTATAGAGAATTTTTGTAGCACATTTAAGAATAAAGAGATAGGGTCTAGTTCTCTGCCTTTTGAAGCTGGACTGGCCTTGTGACTTGCTTTATCTCTGTACAACTTCCACGCCTAGCCTTGAGAGGCTTTGCAGCTTCTCCTCGTCCCCTCTGAAAACACTGCTGCCACTAACGCAAGCCTGCCATGGCACCCTGGAGGAAGATGTCTCAGGCGACAGCCAGCACCAACTGCCAGACATGTGAAACCATTTCAGACCATCTGGCCCTGGCTAAATCACCAGACGAGTTCAGTTGAATGAGGGATCCCAAGACCAGCAGAAGAACCACCCAGCTGAGCTTGGCCCAACCTGCTGGCTGGAAGAATCGTGAGCAAAGAAAATGGTTGTTTGTCATTAAGTTTTGGGGTGTTCTGTGATGCAGAAACAGATAATTCATAAAATTTAAAATAGTGTTGGGAACATATTAAATGTTATATAAGTATCTGTTAAATTCAATAAATTTTGTCTTTCTTCCCCTCAGCCCCTTCATAAGGCATATACAGATTCTCAGAAATGAATAGTGAATGAATTTTTGTCTAGGAAACTTCAGTTTCTGGTTCGAAAAATAAGCAGCCATGGTTATTTTCCTCTGACAATCAAAGGAGACAAATGGAGAAAGAACTTTCATGTTGCCCTGGAATCAAAGAAAAGTACAATAGGTAATAACCTTCTCTCTCTCTTTTCTCAAACACATCCTATTTTCTTCTGACACTTCTAAAGGGTGGGATTCATTAAAATTAAACAGCAAATAAAAGCAGTGCAAGACGGCCCCTGCGGGCACAGTCATAATTCCTGTTAAAGTTAATGGGAGTTTAGAGCACACCTCCAGGCAGAAGACAGGCAGGAGGGGAACCAAATATCTGAAATAAACTTTGAGCCTGAATTCGGGACCCCTTTTCCATGAGGCGTAGGTTTCAGAGCAGACACTTAAATGTTCAGTGGCACCCTCTTTTGATATTCTGCCACCTCAGGCTCCCAATGTGCAGGTCCAGTCATAGAGGTGGTGGAACAAAAAGCACAATTAAGAAAAAAAAATTAAGAGGAGGACTTAGGAATCTCTATTTACAGTTCACCACCCCCCAGGTTTGCCCATTCTGTCTTGAAAGTAGAAGATAACATGCAGCGGCAATGTCACAAAAGCTAAAAACCGAAGATTGGATCACCACGTAACGAATATTTATATGCAGCACCCGCGATGTCCCTAGTAGGGGGCTGAGGGGAAAAAAAGTTTAAGGGGGATTCCATGCTCCCAATCTAGCGAGCAGGCTCTGCAGGGAATCACGACTCCACGTGAGGACTGCTGGAACCGCAGGGCCGTGGAGGCCACAGAGGCGGCTCACAGGTTTCAGAGGAGGTGACACGGGAGTGGCCAGGACAGGACTAGAAGAAGAAAGGGCACTCCGGCTGAGAACTACATCTGCAAAAGCTCGATGGCTCCCGGCAAGTTGTCTGACTTAAGCGGGGTGCTGTGTTCTTGGCCGGGGAGGCTGGGAGGACTGGCAGGCCCTGGGCTCTGCGCGGGGACTAGGCTGGGACCCCTGGGCAATGAGGAGCAAGCTGGCTGCACAGTATCAGATTGTGTTTTAGAAAAATAACTGTGCACACAGAGGAGACACTGGAGGTGAAGAACTGGGAGGCTGAGACTTGCTAGAAAGCTCTTATGAAGAACTTTCTAGGTCAAAAGAATTCGGGCCTGGGGAGCTTCAAGCATGGCGGCAAACTCAAAGGCCAGCGGATCCTCTCCCCACACATCTAAACGAGCAGAACAGGCCAACGTGAAGACTCCCCACCCACTGTGGCACAAACAGAGAAACATGCTCTCCCTTTCTTTCTTGAAACACGTGGCAATCCCAGTCAGTTTCTTCTTCCACTTTCAGAGACACATGCTTACGGAATGAGAAACTCGGATTTCTGAATATCTTCCACTATCCCAATATTGACTCAAATTGTGCCTTTAGACTCTGGCTGAGCCACAACGGGAATCACTGTGGGCTGGACTGGCCCGTTTGCCACCTCCAGAGGGGACACCGAGTGTCAGAGGCAGGCAGGGCCTGCTGCCCATGGGCTGTGGCGCAGTGGGGAAGGGCTCACACTGGCTGAGGTTGGTGTGGGTTAGGGTTAGATGGGCGAGGACAGCAGGGTAAGCCCCGGGCTACGAGATTCAAGGAGAAAGTCCTGGTGGGAGCCACAGCACGGGCGGCACTGCCAGGGTCTGCGGTGGCACTCTGAGGTGGACGAGCTCCAGGCCTTGCTGGAAAAGTGTCGCCCGCCATGCAAACACAGGCAAGGCCACACTAGCAGGGCCAGCCAGGCTTCCTCGAGCCGCTCAAACACCCTGTGACTGCCAACCCCCAGGAGGAGGTCATACAGAAATGCCACTTTCCCAAACACACTTGAAAAACCCTACCCACTGGGGGCCTAGCCCCTCTGACAGACACCGGGCCTCCTGAGGTGTGGGAGCAGGAGCACCTGCGGGAAGGTGACGCTTCAGTGACATGCTGCCACACGCCGGCCAGGGGGCAAGTGACCACCAGACATCCTCTCCACAGTCTGTCCCTCGAGAAGATGCATCACACACAACGGGAACAAAGAACCAGGAATGCGTGACATCAGAGAAGCCCGCAAAACACAGTCACAGGCCTCTCCCTCCTGCCTGGTTTTGCTAATAAAAAAATAATTTAAAATTTGTACACAGTTGAGAAAATCTAGAGTTAAAATATGAAGATGCACCACCCCCTTCCCACTGAGGCAGCTACCATTAACGGTCTGGCTTGCATTCTTCAGGATCTTTTTAGATGTACAAACATACGTGTGTGTGTGTGTGTGTGTGTGTATGTACATATACACATTTATGTAATATTTATAAATATAACTGTTGTGGTTTTCAAAAATGGACTAGTAGATACCTTTTCTCCCCTTGCTCATTTTCCTTCGGCCTGATGACACACGTGGTCCTCTTCCTGTGTCTGCTTAGAGACCTCCATCATCCTTCTCAGTGTACACATTACTCCATATGATCAACGGACCCTAATTTCTCTCATCAGACCCCTAATGGTGAGCACATAGGTTGTCTCCAGATCTGCACCATTGCATCCTACACTGGACCTGCTGGTGCCTAATTCCATGCACATCACTGTGCCCAGGCAGAGCAGTGGAGGGGACACATGCCCAGACATAAAAATCAGTGCTCGAAGGGAATGTGAATTTTGAATTCTGTAACATTATTATGTCCAATGTACAGATGAGGAAACTGAGGCTTAGAGCAGTTAGGTCATTTGCCCAAGGTCACACGCTAGTGAGAGGCAAAGTGGGGCTTCTAAGACCAAGGGGCTGCCCGGCCCATGTGGGGTCCACTCTGGGTCAGCCACGCAACGTGGGTGGTTAGGCTAGGTAATGAACTTGGGGGCTTCAATGGCTGTCTTATCCAGTCTCAGAGTTGCCTGCCAGGGTCAACCCCCAGCAAACCATCCAGAACTGTGCTCAGTAAAGGGGCTGCCATACGAGTCAGCATCAAGGCTGTTCACAAGTCAGTGAGGAGTTTTGAGTGGGAAAGGTGGTCAGATTCCCCAGGAGGTGCCCACCTGCCACATCAGCTAGGCAGGCTGCCTTCTGGACAGGCTCGGGTTGGGTGCTTGGAGTTAAAGGACCTCAGAGGGAAAAGAATTTGGGAGATTCCCAGGGTTCCTTCTGTGCTTTTTTATTTTGTTTCTAATTCCCTGGATTGTCTTCCAGAGGCGTCAACATTCTTTCTGTCCTCCAATCTCATGCCTATACATCTCCTGAGCAATATATGGAGCCAAAGTAAGTAGAAAAATCGGTCTCCCCTCCACAATCACCGCCAAATGCCTTCACTCACACTCAGGTTCTAAGCACTTTTGGGCATCCAGGGAACATATTCTTCTGGGTATCCTAGGAGCCTAGAACAAGACTAGCCCAGAGTGGGTGCTCAGGAGCTATTTGCTGGATGAGTAGATGGATGGGTGGGTAGATGGATGGGGTGGATGAGTGGATGGATAGATGGGTGGATAGATGGGCAGGTGGGTGGGTAGATGGATGGGTGGGTAGATGGATGGGTGGATGAGTGAATGGATAGATGGGTGGATAGATGGGCAGGTGGGTGGGTAGATGGATGGGTGGGTAGATGGATGGGTGGATGAGTG